GACCTATCATTGTTATATTTTTTCAGGTCCTTGTCAATAGCAGGATTAGCAATTGCTCGTGCAGATTAGAGACTTGACTTCATCATTCTTCCGGTGTCATCGACGTAGGATTCTCCTTTATGTTTATTTAATTTAGTTTTAGACAGTTATATTTTATTTCAGTTATGGGATTATTAGAGGTCCAGGATTCTCGAGTTGTATTCTTTTAGAGAATTATTCTATTGGGATTTTACTATTTATCTTTGAGGATTAATGGATTTTAATTAGAGCAGATTTATTATTGATTATTTCATCAACAATTATTTCTTTATTTATCTTTTTGAATTCTGTGTTCGATTTAAAATATTAATTACTTAATACTTCCCTCGGTCTCGTGCGCGAACTTGATCTACCCGAGTTCCAAAATCGAGGGATATCACACCTAGGATACGCAGGTATATGCCTTGAATACTTTTGGGATACGTCGGGGTTCATATTGTAATATTTAAAAAGTTGTAGGTTAAAAATGGGATCAAGTTATAATAAAAACAAAATTGCATTTAAAACACATAAGTTCATATTGTAATATTTAAAATTTTGTAGGTTAAAAAATAGAGGTCGAGTTATAGTGCAACAAATTGCATTTTAAATACCTAATTGATCCCCAGATTCGCGACAGTATGCTTATTTGCTTATCTTCTTCTTCTTCTTCTTCTTCGTCTTTTTATTTTTATTTTTATTTTATTTTTTTTTATTTTTTTTTTTTTTGCACTTTTTTACTTTTTAAGATGTTAAGGTTGGGGATTTTCTTTTTCTATATTTTTTCTACTCTTTAAAACTTCTCATTGTTTAATTACTTTATTGATGATGTATTTATAAACAGGTTAATTAGTGCATTTAGATTCACAATATTACAAAAATATATATTATTTTTGTATATAAAATATTAATATTTTTTAAAAAAATTGACACATCCCACCGTACCCGTATCCCTTTTTTTTTTTTTTTTTTTTTTTTTCGATTTACCGTATCTCATGTCTGTATTGTACCCGTATCCGTGCTTCTTAGGTTGCCTAAAAACTGCATAAACAATAGAAGAAAAAGAAAAACAACCCAAACAACATTTGAATGCACAGACTATCTATGCCATACCATACAAGCCAGCCATATTCCTAATTATCTGAAGATTATGGATCCTCTTCACAGAGCATACTGGTCATCCCAAGACTCTTGTTCCTTTTCTTTTTCTTCTTTTTTTCCTGGCAACAACAACAACAACCCAAAACAAAAGAAAGACAAAGCCCCCCCCACCCCCCAAAAAAAAAAAAAAAACCCTCAAATGGCAACATCCGCCTCCACAATGCGAAGAAATGACGATGGCATGGAACTAAGCACCGAATCAGCATCCATATCAACAGTCAATAAAGAAGCCAAAGCATGGGCAGCCATATTACCCTCCCTTCGCACATGAGCAATGGAGAACGTATAAAAAGATTTAAGCTCTTATTGCACAACATCCATTAAAGAAGCTACCGCACCCCCGACAGAGCGAACTCCTGACAAAGCCTCCACCACCACTTTAGCATCCGACTCAAAACGGACCGCCAGAAAATTAAAGACTTTAGCCCAGTAAACAGCCCGACGAAAAGCAAAAGTCTCAGCCTCAAGCACAGAGGAGGAGGAACACGGCTTAAAGATCACAGCTTGGATAATAAAGCCATCCAAATTTCTATAAACCGCCCCTCTACCCCCTAACAAAGAAGATTTAGAAAAACTAGCATCCACGTTACATTTGATCATGTTCAGCAACGGACGACTCCAACTATTAAAGGACAAGATAGAATTCAACGGAGACATCAACTGCTTACATTTTTGCTGCACTTTTAAAAATTCCCAAAAACGAGCTACAGCCAAATTAGCCACCAAAAGAGGATCCCACACTTCACTTGCAAAAACCAAATGATTTTTAGCCTTCCAAATCATCCAAATACAAAAGGAAGCCAACCCAATCATAACACATTTATTTTCCATTGAACGTAAAACATCACTCGAAATTCTATCCCACCATTCAACAAAAGAAGGAGGAGAATGTTGAGAAAAATCCCAGCGGAGATAACTTCCATACCTGAACTGAGTAAGAACATCTAAAAAAATAGATGAGCAATATCCTCAACCTCCAGCCCACACCTCAGATACACCGGATCCTGTAAGCAGTCTCAGCGGACTAACGCATACCCTGTTGGAATAGCACCATAACAACATTTCCAAATAAAGTGTTTAATTTTAGAAGGTAAAGAAAAACTCCACAGCTTACTCCATAACTGCCCCGACACCTGTGTTCCAACCACCTATGTCCTCCTCTGCGGATTCTGGGAAGCAAGAGACATGGCTAACTGATATGTAGATTTAACACTAAACCTACCTGAAGCATCAACGTCCCAAATTTGAATATCCTCCAACGGCCCATGACGTAAAGAACTCTTTGATATGCATTGAATTTCCATGGATGAAAATAATTGTCTCAATACATCCATGCGCCACACATTACAATTACTGTCAATAAGCTCATCAACCCAAGAAAAACCCAACTCAACCACCCTTGGCCCCAAAGGCAGTGATAGACCTGAGATCCATTTCTCTCTCCAAATGTGGATAGATTTTCCATTGCCCACCACCCAATGCAAACCATGCCTTAACAATTCCTATGCCGACAAAATACTATGCTAAGCCCAGGATGGATTGTAACCAAGTCTTGCATCAACAAATGAACACAATAAAAAGTATTTCGCTTCAAATAAATGATAAACCACCCCTTGCTTAGACACTTGAAATTTCCAACCATGCTTAGCCAATAAAGCCAAATTAAAAGCTTCAATGTCACGAAACCCCAACCCACCATCCTTTTTACTTCAACACAAGAGATCCCAAGGAGCCTAATGAATGGAGTTGCATTTACCAAACTTCCGCCACCAAAAAGAGCGCACCTGCTCCAATAACTCAAAACACAACCCACGAGGTAACCTGAAAGCAGACATAACAAATGTTGGGAGAGCATTCAACACTGCCTTAATTAAAACTTCCTTACCCCCATCTGAGAGAGCATGTTGCTGCCAAGATGCTAAACGATCCTGCATGCGTTGGAGCAAGAACTTGAACACATCATATTTGGACCGACCAATTATCGCTGGCATCCCTAGATATTTTGTTTGAAACCCATCCTCTGACAGACCCAACAATTGACTCAAGGTACGCCTTAATTGCATAGGAGCATTCTTAGAGAAAAAAATGGCAGATTTTTCAAAATTCACCTTTTATCCCGAAGCCATCTCATAAGCAGAAAGAATATGCTTAAGCGAGCTAATCTCCGTTTCAGAAGCTTGGGAAAATACAATAGAGTCATCTGCAAAAAACAGATGAGAAATAGATGGAGCACCTCGACAAATCCGCACCCCAAACAGTATCTTAGCCTGTTGGGCTCGCTGGAGGGCCAAAGAAAGCGCCTCGGCACAAAGGATAAAGAGATACGGCGATAAAGGGTCACCTTGGCGCAAGCCACGCGATGGCCGGAAGAAACCCACTGAACTGCCATTGATCACCAGAGAATAGGAAACCGTTGAGAGACATGAGGACAACGTTTTAATCCAATGATCATTCAGGCCCAACTTATGAAGCATACTAAATAAGAAGTTCCACTCTATACGATCATACGTTTTACTCATATCTAGCTTGAGCGCCTAAAAAGCTTTCCTTCCTTTTCTTTTATTTTTCAAGTAATGCAGAATCTCATGGGAAATAAGAATGTTATCAGTAATATGCCGCCCTGCAACAAACGCCGACTGAGACTCACTAATAACGTGATCTACAACACCTTTCAAACGATTAGTCATTACTTTTGCAATAATTCGATAAGCAACATTACATAAAGAAATAGGCCTATAATGAGATACTAAAGTAGGAGATGCAGTTTTAGGTATAAGAATAATATTAGTATGATTTAAGCAGGAAAGCATATACCCGGTTTGGAAGAACCCAGTCACCGCCTCCACTACGTCAGCCTTAATGACCTCCCAGTACTTTTGATAAAAAAGAGGAGTCATACCATCCGGACCTGGAGCTTTCAAAGGTTCCATTCCAAAAACAGCTTATTTTATTTCCAACTCTGTCGGCTGCAAAAGCAAAGCTTGATTCATTTCTAGTGAAATTCGACAAGGGATATGGCGTAAAAAGTTTTCTATATGCTGAGGTCGCTGGGACATGAAGAGATTCCGTCCCCAACGCTTTTTTTTTTTTTTTTGGAAAAAGTAATTTTAAAGAGTTAGCAGAGAAATTTTTAATCCATCACTTTTGATGAACTATTTATGCAATATATAAAGAATTCGGCCCAATTATGCAAGCAACCCCAGAATTTTTTTTTATTGATCGGCAATAAAACACACAAACAACTCCCACAGGAGAGTATCAAACTAGTCCCAACTACACTTAAAAGCTGCTCTCAAACAATCTAAAACGGTGCATATTTATTGAGTGGGTATTATCCATGACATATATGTCCGACTCACCCACCAAATATCTTCAACAAATATTGAGAGAGTTAGACATACTATGTCCATGCACAATTAAATCAAACTGGTCCACCCTACACTTAAAAATTGCTCTCAAACCAATTAAGATGGTGCATATTTATTTGGTGGATATTACCTATGACATGTATATGACATGTATGGTCAACTCCCCCACCAAATATCTTCACCTGCTTTGAAAGGTGAGTAAAATATTGATGACCGTAACAACTATTGATGATCGTAACAATCACATAGGGATATAGATTAATGAAATTTTGCAGGCGTTAACAACATTTAGTTATAAGACTAAATTGAAGTACATGACACATACATATATAAATTAAATATAAAATCTCTAGGTTCTAGTCAATTCGGTGAAGATAAGTTCAAATACACAAAGAGACTTGAAAAGTTCAGCTCAAAAACATATAAATATTTGATACATAAAAATATTTAATAAGTTCAGCTCAAAAACATATAAATATTTGATAAGTGCAGAAACATAATAACAAAATAAAACAAGAAAAAATAAGACCTATTTAATTAGAGAGCTGAAGAATCGACCATTATGCTCTTGGGTGAGAGTGACAACGCCTTCAATGTCGGACTTGCCCGTAATTACTGCCACTACTTTCTTGGTGGCGGCGGAGGTGAGGACCAACAGTTGACAACTTACGCTTCTTAGAAGCATTCTTCCGAACTGCACTGGGTTTCACACCCTCAAGAAGTAACTTCTCAAAACTGCCAAGATCTTTCAACCACATAGACTTCGGAGTTTCATCTTTCAAATCATTAACACGATTTTTAAGCATATCTCTTGTATAACATAGCTCCTTATACCCATCATTAGAAAAGCTCAGAAGTGGCATTCTGAGTATGTATTCATAATCTTCTTCAGGAACTGCTGATTCAGGAGTATTTGTTATCTTCCCCAAAGTCATAAAGTCTTTTTCTTTCAACAGCATTACCAGACTATCAATGTTCCCTGGAAAAAACTGATCTTCCCTTCTAGAACTTCAGTTACATACTTAACTTTGTTTTCCAGTTTCAACAATTCCATTTCAAGATTGCATAACACATACTTCTGCACAAAATTATTTTCTAGTTAGCAGCCATGTCCATAAAGTAAACAAGAAATTCAAATGTCAGAAATTTAATTTCATTTTTGAACAACTTGCCTTCCTTTTCTCATAGAATTCAAGTCTTATAGGAATGAATTCCTCAAGAACTGCAGAAGGAAAGAAATGAATTTACTATAAAGCGAAGTTATAATATAAAGGATAAACTAAATTAGCCTATGGTATTAATTTCATACTTTGTATAGGGGTGTCATATTTCTTGATCATGCCTTCTCGGTTGAACAGGCACATGTTACTTGTCTTGATCGTAGTAGTAAGCTTAAATTTCTTAAGCAAACCCTCATGCTTGGCCATGCTCAAGTTCTCCGCAGGTAAGATGACTTCAAAATTTACAGTTGTGTCATCAGCATTGCGCTTTATGTAATACTACAACATGAAAACTTTGCTATAATTATTCCGATTTCCAGTACACTTTTTGTTTATATTACTGAGCCTCCTAGCACATGATAATTCAAGGTGTTCAGGTTCCAATATAGGTCTCTCTCAGGGGGAAAGAGAGAGAGAGAGTTGGAGTGAGACTGAGAGATAGAGAGAGAGAGAGAAAGAGTTGGGGAGTGTTTGTACCAAGAATAAGAAAATAAAATAACAGAGCCTTGTATCTGTTCCTCCCACATGATAATTCAAGGTGTTCAACTTTCCTATTGGGAGGTTTGTGTGCGTGACACTGTGAGTTGTAGTTTTGATACCAGCAATAAAGAAAAAACCAATACCTTGATGAATGGATCATTCCCTGTTGTCATCGATCGCAGAAAGTCTATATAATCTTGACGCGATACTCCAATAGGTAGCTTTGTAATCCTGAGTGTAGTTGCATCGACTTCCTCTATTAGTCCTTCGATAGTGTAGCCATCTGCTGCAGCTTTCTTAATATTTCCTCTAAATCCTTTGTACCAGGGTTGCATTGGCTGCATTGGCTTCTCATTTAGTAAACACCTCAAATTTGAAACAATGTCCATCGGATTATATTTTGGGATATAAGATCGATCTCCGGTCACTATGACTTCAGTTCCATTGACTAGAACCATTGGTATAATTGGCATGTACCTGAATTATAAAACAGATTAGCTTGACATCCACAATTCCTTCATTACCTACACACTGATCCATTTGTCACCCGTAAAAAGCCCACCAACTAGGTTCAACAGAGTTTCCATCTTCTTTTATGTACTCAAGCAGAATATCATCATCTTTGGGGAACAGGTACTGTGTGATAGGAGACAGCCGAGTGTATCTATATGTAGGAACAGCATCATGATCTTTGCCTCCCTGTAAAAGAACAAATTAATCTACGAAATGAAAGTTAAAGCAAACAAAATAACTTTTAATATCAATTTCAAGAGCTGAAAGTTGTTTGTTCGACTCACTAGGTAACGAGATAGGGCATTTGGTTCAAGAAGATTTATGTTATTGGTGCCCAAATAATCATGTGCCATGCAAAAAATGGCCCTGGCAAGATCCCGCTTACTACGAAGATAATTAGATTCAAGAGCTACATAACGAGAGAACTCTGAAACTTCTACGTCCTCATAAATGTTCAGCTTGAAAGCACAGAAAAGGACCTTTCTTTGAACTCGGTTCAGGCCATCAACCATTGAAGGAATTGACCATTGTAGATTAGCCATCAAAAACAGTTTAAGCTCCTTGTTGACAAAGTCGCAAGCTTCTCCTTCTGATCAATATCTGCATTGCACATTGTTCATAATATCAGCCATCGAAAATTATACATAATACCAATTAAAATCTAAAATACTCATAAACTGCATGCATACATAATTTAATCACATATCGCCATGTATACAACTTGAAACCAACAATCAATAACAACTGATCTATATATGATGAATATTCAATAGGAATCAAAATTAATTGAACACTAAGCAACAACTAACTAACATTATTTTCATATATATGAAAATTTCATTAAATAATGAACCAATACCAAATTATTTTCATATATAAGATTGATTGATAAACACCTCTTTTTTGTCAAAGAAATTTATTGAAGGAATGAATGAACAAATTTTCATTATATGATAATTAAACACTGAACCAATACCAAATTACCCCTTCCAAACTAAAAGAAGATTAAAAATCTAGAATGTTTATAAACCGAATGTATGCATACAGAAATCATATATCACAATTTGAAACCAACAATCAATAACACATTGTCAACAAGAAATGAGAGACAAAATAGATTCTAAAGTCAGAGAAGAAGCTAGATTTGCCATATGAGAAGTATGAGGAACATCTCTTTTCAAGTCTTACACAAGAAAATCGCAGGTAAGATCCCTACAAGGTGTTACTTCTTCAAGACAAGTGAGGAATCTGTTTTTGGATGGCTAAGCTTACAAATTAAGCACAATGACTCTCATTCTTTGAAGGTTAGATAGAGATGTTGCTTTAAGAGAAAATTAGGGCTTGTGTGATGGAGAAAAAGAAAAGGAAAAGGAGAGAGAATAAGCAAACAGAATACTCGGTTTCAAACGGAAGTTACAGCGATCAACCGACTAGATATTTCCACCTTAGAAATTTCGATCGATCTACTCGGCGTCGATCGGATGCTCCATAACACTCGAATTCGGACTTCAAGAACGAAAGTTGTTTCAGAAATCAATGTGCCTATCCAGAATTCTCTAAAAATTCATTCATGCCAGAACACAAAAAGTAGTGAACCGTGAAAATATGAGAGAGAGAGCGAGAAAGACGAGAGAGAAATTCGTAAACTGAAGAGAGATACATACACTAACCTACTTAGAAATCAACTACTTGCAATCGTAAAGGAAGGAGTTGTCCACGCTTTGGTTGCGGTGTGGTGTGAGATCTGCGTCGTCGTCGTCGTCGTCGCCGCCGCAATCTTCTGATTAGGTCATGTGAACGAGGAAGAGAGAGATTAGCGTGTGAAATGCGCTAACAATAGGGTAACCACTTTATACTTCGTATGTAGGAGGGAGAATTTCATCATTCAACCAAGTAATTGAATACATATTTTTATATTTCTCCCTCTGTGCATTATACTTGCCGAACTATACTTGCCGAAACTGTCGTTTGATTAATAAGATTTTTAAAATTCTATAGATTTTTAAAATTACACGTTAATCTTACTAAGCATTTAAAATATAAATTTATAAGATAAAATTGTTATTTTTTTTTCCTTCAAAAATTAAAATATTTGTATATATATGATTGTTGAATGTACAGATGGGCCTAAACTCCAAAAAAATAGACTATTTTTTTTTTAGAACCCCAAAATGAGTAATATTAATAAAGGTTCGTGTCGCCAAATTTGAAAAAAATTTGAAGGTTATGCTCCATGTGTACTTTTTCTATTTTTTATTACAATGCTGTCAAAAGTTGTTGGCTAGGAAGCACGAATAATTTCCCGAAAACCCCTTGGTGCTATTGGACACGTGTCGATGGTGCGATGTTAGCCAAAACATAGTGTGGCTTACAGAGAAGGTACATGTTGGAGAGGGGATCCAAATAGTAGAGTCATGGGCAACAGTCTGAGGGTTAAGAGCTCAGGGAAATCCACTATCACCATAGATGGGAAGCTTCAATTGTTGTTGATAACAAACGAAGAAAACTTGTGGTTGGGAGGAATGCCAGAGTGCTAATGCAGTGATCCGATCATTTTCTTTTTCTTTTTTTTTTTTTTTTTTTTTTTTTTTCCTCAGATTTTTACAGATATAGCTTCCAGCTTCCGGAAAATGCTCACCTCCCACAAGTTTGTTCTTGGAACTCGAGTCCCAAAACATGTTACACTTCCATATATGAACATTAGTTTGGTGATCCAAAAAATTCCTTCTTATTTCCTCTGCCGATTTCCCTTTAAGAGAATGATAAAATGGAAGGACTACAAATATCAAGAGCGCAAGCAAAGTAAGGTATACATTTATTTCTTTGTTTTAAAATAAATATAATTCAATATATTTCCATGAGTAAATGAACAATGTTTACATTTCACTGAGGCTCCCATAAAATACATCTCATGACAATTAGGATCACATCATCATGTTACTGATATTAAAATGATTCCACCATAAAACACACCTCATGACAATTAGGATCACATCATCAGTTTACAAGCCCAACAACTCATCCATAAAAAATTTGCAGCAAAGCTACATTCTACCTTTAAACCATCAAAAATAAAATCAAAGTTTGCATAGGGGACTTGAGGATTGACCTAGAATTGCAAAGAGAGCATGAGCAAGTGTATAACCTGATAGACCTTCAATTATTCCCAAGAGAAGGAGCAAAGCAAGTGATGTGTTAAATTCATAAATATGTATCAGGAACTCAATTTAACCAACTTAACCCGAACGGGTTGACTCAGTTGGGAAAGACTTGGGGCCTGGTGCCTCAAGAAGCATCAGGTCTCAGGTTCTCATCACTGAGTGGACACTATTCGTTGGGACTACGACCGTGGACTTAATCCAAGCTTTACTCGATCCGTGGAGAGGGGTCGCTTTACACGGATTTTATTTATTTTTAACCAACTTGGATTCCTTCGGGTCAACAACCAATTTTTGTGTGCTTGGACAAACTACAATCTGAAATCAACAAGAAGAAAGAAATAAATACTATGTTTGGAAGTACCGAATTCACATCTTAGATTTAAAATTGGAAGAAATTCAATTTTAACTTTGAACTAAATTTCCTCCAATTTCTAATCTAAGGAATCAATTGGGTGCTCATCCCAAACACAAGGTAAGAGAAGTCAGTATGAATTATTTTTTAAACTGCAAACACTGTACAACATAAATCTAGTCTAGAATCATGAATTGGAATATAGAAAAGGCAACTGCTAACATTTCAGGTGCTTTATCATAAGACTTCTGATTGTATAATTCCAATTGAACTATGATGTCGATGAGCCTGACAATATATAGAAAGCAGTATCAAATAATTCAAATTAAGCAATATAATATAAGAATGGTGCTGGAGCATTTAAGTGTAATTAGAAAATTTAATTGGTATGATCATCTTACAATGAACTATGCCTATTATTGCAAATAGTAAGGTTTCTAGAATGACAATGATATTGTAGTGAGATCTTGTTGTATTAAATTCTTAAAAGTTGTTCAACGTTGCAAGCAACATGTTACATGCTTCAACCTGACTAATGATTTAGGGTGCTTCGTTGACTTTGTGGGTAAATGGAGAGAGCACAAATAACAAACAATTAATATATATATACACATGTTACATGCTTCAACCTGACTAATGGTTTAGTGCTTCGTTGCCATGACTTTGTGGGTAAATGGAGAGAGTACAAATAACAAACAAACAATATATCTATATATATATATATTCCAAATTGTAATAACAAGTAATTTTCTTGTTACATACAATAACAAGAAATTTTCTTGGGGAACAAAGTCATAGTTTGATGAAATTTCTACCAAGATTTTGTCTCATAAGATATATATTCAGCATTTAAAAAACAAATTGCATTATAAAAATAAAAAGAATTTGAGTGGAATTGACTAATGATTTCTTAGCCCTTTCTTTTTGACGAAATATGATATGTAGGAGATCATAGATGATTTGATAAAGAAAATTAGAACCATATTGGCGTAAATAGTTTCATATAATCAGATAATGGGGACCTTGAAAAGTAATAATTACAGATGGTGTCAGTTCCTCCTTGCCAGTATAAATGAAGGTGCAACAGACTATATTGTTTCTTTTGATGACAGAGATAAATATAATCATTGAAGATGAGAAAGGCAAGCATATATACCTATGAACTATTATTAACTTTAAGAATTAAATTGATATTTTTGGATCTCAACATTTTTGCAATGACCTGTACGCAATCTAATTATTTAGAATGTGAAACTAAAATTAATTTTATTGAATATATATAACTAGACTGTCTCACTTTCGTTAAGAGATGGAACCTACTAAATTGATACTGAAAAGATATGTAGACGTACAGACATTGCAACAAATGAGTTTATTTGTGAGAGAATAATAATACTTAATAATCTGTAGCTAAAAAGTTCAAGTTACAATGCATTAGTAATTGTCAAAATACTGTTATCTTAAACTGTGTCGCGGAGTAATCTATAATGTGACAATCCATTAGTAATCATCGGTAATGCTTGTAAATTGTGACCGGAAAATTTTTCCAAAAAAAAATTATTTTACCAACGCCTCTTTGTTCCATCACTATTGAAGTATCCATTTGTAACAATTCTCTTTAGGTATCGCAAATACTTTTTATTTGTGATAGGAAATTTCATTCCCTATAATGTACCAGTTGTGACGCTATTTTACGGTTACAAATACGCTGGAAGATCTTTAATTTTTTGTGCAAGGAAAAACAGAAGAGAAAAACTTTTGTATATATTAAAATTAGAATTGGGATAAAATTAGTTCAAACTTCTATGAGAAATCTAAGTGTGTGTTGAACAAATTTCATAGTCAAATGATTTATCAAGTTGTCTTATGCTATGTTTGACAGCATCGAATTGGCACATTGAATTTGGATCGGAGAAAATTTAGTACAAATTTTAAACTAAATTTCCTTCAATCCAAAATCCAATTCAAGATGCCGATTCGATGCTCCAAACATAACATTATATTATTTCCTTCAGTTTTGGATTGGATGTGGTTAAGAGTAATGTGCCAATTGATCATCAAAATGATATGTCAACAGTGGGTCTTTCAATTGGTCCAAGGTATTGAATTTAAAATACCAACAGTCACCACCATCTTCGGCTATAAGAGCCATTGGAGTCTTTATTGGTGCGAAAATTATAATAAAGAAAAGGTAACGTGAGTCACGGTCCCTAATACATAACACTTATTATGGGACAGAGGGAGTACTATAAATAAGGGTAATCACATGGCCAGAGATGACAAAGAAAATCAACTTTTGGTGTTTTTGTTGTTTCACTAGTTGTGAGTGTTGCCTTCACTGATTCTGAAAATGATCATTGGAGAAGTGTTCTTTAAACATTTCTACGTGTGGGTTGCTGTGGTTTTACTAATATTATGCATGGAAATGAAACCAGGTCTTGGATCATTGACTACTTCAAGAGTTGGAGATGATGCCAAAGTGAGGTGCATAGAGAGGGAGAGACAAGCTCTCCTTGAGTTTAAAGAAGGGCTGATTGATGATTATGGCATTCTCTCATCTTGGGGGAGTGCAGAAGAGAAGAAAGACTGCTGCAAATGGAGAGGAGTCCGATGTAGCAACAGTACCGGTCATGTCATCATGCTCAATGTTCATGCCAAATTTTATCTTCAGCCTTTGAGAGGTAAGATTAGTCCTTCATTGCTTGAATTGCATCATTTGAAGCATTTGGACCTCAGTGTCAATGATTTTAATGGGAGCCGCATTCCAGAATTCATTGGTTCCTTTAGCAGATTAAAATACCTCAATCTTAGAGAGACTGGTTTTCTCGGCACGATTCCAAATCAGTTTGGGAATCTTTCCGAATTGCGTTATCTAGATTTGCGCTTTAATGGATATTTGAGTGCAAAAAGTGTAGAGTGGGTTTCTCATCTCTCTTTATTAAAATACCTTGACCTGAGCTATGTTGATCTTAGCGAAGCAATAGATTGGATGGAAGTGACCAATAAGCTCCCTCTGCTAACAGAATTGTACTTATTTGACTGTGAACTCCACAGTATCATTCCTCCCTCACTTCCATTGATAAATTCTTCTGCGTCTCTTGCTGTCGTTAATCTCTTGGGCAATCATCTGACTTCTTCAATATACAATTGGTTGTTCAACTTCAATACCAGCCTTGCTGATGTAGAACTTCCTTTTAACAATTTACAAGGTCCCATCCCTGATGCTTTCGGAAACTTGAATTCCCTTGCCTTACTTCAACTCTCCTTCAATCAACTTGAAGGCGGGATTCCAAAATCCTTGGGGAACTTAAGTAGTTTACGAACATTAGATTTGAGTCACAACAACTTAACAGGACAGATTTCCGAGTTTGCTCACATGTTGTCTGGAGGTACAGAGAAGTCATTGGAGATTTTAGATCTTGGTGGGAATCGACTTGGTGGTTCATTGCCTGATAATATCTCAACATTTTCGTCCTTGAGGAGATTGCATCTTGCTGATAATCAGTTGCATGGGTCTTTACCAGGAAGTTTGGGACAACTTGGCACTCTCGTTTCGGTAGACTTGTCCTTTAATCAAATTACTGGGTTATTTCCTAATCTCACTGCATTTTCTTCATTGAAAGAGTTAGTGCTTGCAAACAATCAGTTGACTGGAACACTACCCAGAAGTATTGGACAATTCTCCATGCTGGAACGTCTTGATGTCTCTTCAAATTTTTTGGAAGGTATAATCTCAAGTGGTTTAGGGATTTATAGATCTCTCACATTTTGTTGGCAAATATTGTTTCTTACTGTTTAATTGATTTCAACTCTAATCATTTTGCAGGTCCAATACTACCATTTCCTCCCAATGTCACATTATTGAATTTATCCAGAAATAAGTTCTCTGGGTCAATTTCATTCTTATGTGCGGCTATCAATGAGAAGGTCAAGTTTATTATGTTCTCATATAACCAATTGTCAGGAAAGCTTCCTGATTGTTGGATGCATATGAAAGAATTAGTCGCTCTTGACTTGGCCAACAATAATTTGTCTGGGAAAATTCCACAATCTTTCGGATTCCTCACTAAGGCTAAGACCTTGCACCTACGAAACAATAATTTCATTGGGGAATTGCCTTCGTCCTTGAAAAATTGCAGAAAATTAATAACTTTGGATGTGGGAGAAAATAAATTATCAGGAAAAATACCAACCTGGATTGGGACACACTTGACAAGTTTAATTTTTCTTTGTCTGCGATTGAATAAGTTCCATGAGCACATACCTCTAAATATATGCCATCTGAACTCTATTCAAATCTTGGACCTCTCACAGAACAATATATCGGGAATTATACCGCAGTGCTTCAATAATTTTGCAGCTTTGGTTCGGCGGAATAAATCAATAGAAAATTTTTCTTTTATTTATCAAGTTCCTGATGCTGATAATTTTGATGTTGTGTATCTAGAAAATGCATTGGTGCTATGGAAAGGTCAAGAATTTGAGTACAAAAATACATTAGGACTGATAGGAAGCATTGATATTTCTAGCAATAGTTTAGTAGGGCAAATTCCTGAAGAAATCTCATGCCTTGCAAAATTAGTTTCCTTGAACCTATCGAAAAATTCTTTGACTGGACATGTTATTCAAAAGATTAGTGAGTTGAAAATGTTAGAATCTCTAGACTTATCTAGTAACCAGCTTTCTGGTGAGATTCCTGCAAGCATCACTCATTTAAACTTTCTTGCTGTATTGAATTTGTCGAATAACAATTTGTCCGGAAAAATTCCATCAAGCACTCAGCTTCAGAGCTTTGATGCCTCCGCATATGCTGGAAATAATGAACTTTGTGGGCTTCCTCTTCCAAATACGTGCCCAGGAGATGAAACAACTCTTGATCCTTCGGTTACCAATCGTGGTAAAGACAATATCATTCAAGGAGATGAGGATGGGTTTATAAACCAAGAATTTTATATCAGCATGGGGCTAGGTTTTGGTGTTGGATTTGGTGGTGTCGTTGGCACCTTACTTCTCCAACGTTCATGGGAACACATCCTTTTCAAGCTCTTGAACAGCACAAATGATTGGCTCTATGTGACAACAGCAGTGAATATGGCGAGATTGAGGAGGTGGCTTCAAAGCTAATAGGTAAATATTTCATTCGGTTTTTCTGTATTAGCTGAACTATTACTCATTGAATCTGTTTTTGCATTAGCTAGATGATCAGTACTTATGACAATCTATATAGAACTTTACTATAAAAAAAAATGACACAATAAATAAATAAAAATTTGGGTCCTTTGCTTGGAAACTAATGTTGTCTTGTTAATTCCACATTGATTAAATTTAAACTGATTGCTAATGTTGTTCGTATTGTTCTTTTGTTTTGCATTTTTGATGGAAGCCACTTCAGCTAAGATACGAGCTTTCGTTCCTCTTGACAATAAGTTCCTGCCATAGGACGCCGAATTAGTGAGTGTTGATTGAAGCGCCACAGTATAATGGTTGTGGCATGCAGGGCAGTCCAAAATAAATGTATAACATAGTTTGTTGTCTCTAGTTTGTTTTCTTAAACATGATTACTGATAAGGCCTCTTTGCCATATGCAACTCTCAGATCAATGTTTAGGAAAGAATAATTAGGAAAAAAAGTTTGTTTCGTTCCATTACTCACAATATGTTTGATTGGCTTGGCCACTGTATGCCTCTGTTATACACAAAATAGTAATTACATAAAGGAGAATTCAAATTATACACAACCTTCAGTTCTTTGAAAAAAAAAAAAATGGTCAGACATCAACATTCAATTAGATTACGTGGGGTAAATGAGGTTCATCACATGGTAACTGTTGGTGAAGCTGGCGATATATTTGAAGTTTAGAGGCATTGCCACATTGCCAGAGACTATCACAAATAGAATTTTGGATTGTGTTAAAACATTGTTCTGGTTTGAGTCAGGCTTCCAACAGGTCCTCTCTCATCTCTGGTTGACCCAAATTTTTTGGATTCAGTGCCGAATCGATGTGCTAGAGTTTTTCATTCCATCCTTTCCTCCAATGAGAAATTTCTTTTCTATACCATAGTTTCGAGGTGGCAGATTCTGCCAGCAAAACTCGTTCTGCATCCTCATCTTCTCACCCCTCAGAAGTCAGACCTAAGCTTCATGGAGGATACATTGGTTAGCTAGTTGAAAAAGCTAGACGTGTTCTTCACTTTCTGTAATTAATAACCACTTATCTGGTGGAATTCCAACATTTTCTTGAACAACATGAAAGATTGGCTCTATATGACAACAACAGTGTTCATGGCCAGATTGTGGAGGAGGCACTGAAGTGTCTAGGTAAATATCTTATTCATCTTTGTCATATCCTGTTTATTCAACACTTTTTATATATGGATTTCATGAGCTTGTTAAGGGAACTATCCCAAACTTAAATTAGGGATTTGAAACTACATAATTTAATGTGGGCTCTCATTCGTTTTTCATGCATTGGCTTAACTTTCATTCTTTGAGTTTGTTTTTCGCGTTAGGTAATGGTTCAGACTTTCAGTACTAGAGTAACACTCTTAAGTCCCAGCTTCATGAAAAGTGTTGAATAAACAAAAAAATTATTAGTTTTTTGGTTTATAAACGAAACTGATTACTAGCAAATTTGTTTTTTTTTTTTGTTCATTTCTTTTGCATTTAAGGTGAATCTACTTGGCCTAATTTAAGAGCTTTTAGTGTTATGTTTTTCTTGAAGATAAGTGTGAGATATATATATATATATGTATTATGGGGAGAGTGTGAAAAATATATCTTTTGTAATTGGCTAATATCGTTGTCAAAACAAGTCCGATCAAGTTATAATTTTTCGGTTCAAAATTTCATGATTGAAGATCGGATTCATACTTTAATACGCTCCGGAATGATGAGAACAATGCTTTAGATAAGTATGTGAGTGTGTGAGAACACTTGGGAAGATTTAGAAGGTTGAAGCAAATAGTAGGTTCACTTCTGTCCATTGGGAACTGGTAGCCAACTATCGTTCAAAAAGGGATTCGTCACTGCCCTTCTGGAACTGGTAGCTAATATCTCTATCAGTAGCTTAATCACGTCGGATTTGACAGTCTTCTTTTTGAATTGGTAGCCAAATATAGTACCAGTTCAAGACTTCTGATCAGGTTTGGTAACTTCAGTTTCCTTATCTGTTTTGATTCCTTTTTGGTCTAGACTATTGTGGTTTTGTGGAATCTGATTAATTTTTAGGAAGATTTAATTATATGGAAACTTCAGTTTCCTGATCTGTTTTAACTTCGTTATTGGTTTTGGATTCTACAAAAGGTAATTTCTTGTAAGACAAATTATTTGAAGTTATATATATATCAACTCTAATCAGATCTTCGGGTGTGGTAAAAATAGTGAGAAGAAGAAAAAGAGAGGATCATCGTACGTGTTATAAGATTGATTAATTTGAGCCAATACAAGAGAGAGCAATTGAGAGAGATTGAGAGAAAATTCTCCATTTTAATTCTTCATCTTCTTCATAGTGAATTTGTTTAGTGTGCTCCATAGACGTAGCCTTAAGATTTGGGTGAACCATGTATATCTTGTGTTCTTGCGTTTGATATTTTTTTTTTCTTTGTGAATGCTTGTGATTATTCCTCGAACAACGTTGTTATTTGCATTTCCCCTACAATAACTGGTATCAAATCTGGTTGATTGTGCAGAGCAACTCCAACAACTGGTATGAGAGCCTTTGGTTGAGAACCTAGGGCATAGAAGGTGTTTGACGAAATTTCAAAAGTCTTTCGATTAGATCTGTCCATTTGAGTAGGAGTAATGGCAACAGAAGATAAGACATCCACATTTATGATCAAGAAGTTTGATGGCACAAACTTCGGTTTCTGGAAGATGCAAATAGAAGACCTCTTATTTAAAAAAAAAAAAAAAATTGTACCACCCTTTAGGAAAGAAGCCAGAGGATACAAAGAATTTAGAATGGGAATTACTTGATAGGAAGGCTCTTGGCACCATCAGATTTACGTTGTCAAAGTCAGTCGCCTTCAACATCAAGAACGAGAAGATGGCGAAGTCTCTCATGGCAGCCCTTTCTAGTATGTATGAATAGCCAGGGAACAAAGTGCACTTGATTAAGAAGTTGTTCAACATGAAGATGGTTAAAGGTGGTAAGTTCAACGAACATCTAAATGCATTTAACAGGATAGTTGCACAATTAGAGTCTGTTGATATCGACTTCAAAGACGAGGTCCGAGCATTGTTAATTCTAGGGTAGTTACCCAAGAGTTGGAGTGGCATAGTTATAGTGATTAGTAGCTCTGCAGGGAAGACCAAGTTGAAGTTTGATGAAGTTGTGAGCATGATTCTGATTGGAGAAATCAAAAGGCAAACAGCAGGTGTTTCTACCAGTGGTTCGGTATTGAATGTTGAAAGTAGAGGCAATGGTTCAAATAAAAAGAAGGGCAACGGTAAAAGAAACAGAGGTAGATCCAAGTCAAAGAATGGAAAGAAAATTTCTGAAATTTCACAAATCTCAATGACATTGAGTGTTGAAATTATGGAAAGAAGGGACATTACTGTGTTGATTGTGACGGCCCTGGTTTTACAAACCCAATGCGTCTATGATGATTCAAAAGTTGACCCGATAACGGATCCGAAATGCGGAAGCAAAAAATAAAAACCAAGGTCTCTAGAGATGTACATCATCCCTAAGATGCTAAAGTGACTTTCCATAAAGCCACAGAACCCATATAAACCAAGTACGGAAGCTAGGGTTCCAAACCCGACAAGAAATGAACCAAGGGAAAAATGGTCATTTCAAATAGCAATGGGTGCTATCGTACATACCACTAGAAAGACAACGAAAAATTAATAAAGTAAGACACAAGAATTGCCTGATTCGGAGTCTAGATGAACAAGATATGTAACCTCAAAATTTTGAAACAAAAATAGGAACTTAATGTGCCGATCGATCATGGGATTGGGAAATCGATCGCCCAATCCACGAAGGATCAAATAGAACCTAAAAAAAAAAAGTGATACTCCCAGAGTATCGATCGTCACCCCTGCGATCGATCGCCTCGGCGATCGATCTCCAACTTCGGCGATCAATCGCCAAATGCCAGCACACAGGATCACAAAACCTATGAAGGATCAAAAGTAGGCAAAAAGATGCCAGTGATCGATCGTAAGATTCGGCGATCGATCGTCGAATCTGCGATTGATTGTAGATAAAAAAAACAGACCAAAAAATCTGCGGCTGCGAGCAATTTTCGATGTTGAAATAGACTTTTTTGAAAAAAAAAAGTTGTGAAGAAACCCCCCTTAAAATGTGATTTTCTATGCGACCATGTTAAAGCCAAATCTTATTTTTCAAAAAAATTTCTCAAAATGCCCTTATGCACAAACTTTGCAAAAAAAATAAATTGCTTGAAACGGAAATCATGCATTGCATATATAAAAAGTTTTTGGTCCTTGGCCTTATTGCATACATATCAAATAAGTCTTAACTAGTGTATTCAAGTACACTTTACATATCCCAAATGAAAATTACAAGTTTTGACATATCAAACCAAAAGAAAGCAAAACATGCTAACACATGTATGATTACAAATACATCAAAAATACTCCAAGCAACCAAGCAAACCTAGGGATGTTGTGCATCCCAAAACAATACCTAAAAAATGTTCCAAACAATGAGGGTGAGTAAACACATTACTCGTAAGAAGAAGTGCATGCGTATACCCTAAAGTTTCAAGTATCTTGCAAATTCAATATAGACTAATACAAAGGAGCATTCCACCTAACGTCTAAGTTATAAGGTACACTAAAGGGATCATCTCAAGCTACACAAGTAATTGAATGATAAAATACAACGCACAAGCATACTAAGCACAAGTATACTAAACGTGAATGAAACCTCAAGCACCAAATCATAAGCTACAAGTAATCCATGATTAGCAACATGGAATTGAATGTGAAATCAAGTATAGGAAAAACTTGGACATGTGATCTTGGTTTTAATCAAGATTTACAAGTTATTCCGGGTAATTACAACCTATAAGGTATTACCTAGTGCGCATTATTTGGGGAGAACTGATACCTCCCACACTAAAGCCTAACTTTAGCCATCACAATAGACATGT